GAACTAGCTCTTGTAGACCAGGCTATCCTTGAACTCACAGAGATCGCCTGCCTCTGCCTCCCGAGTGCTGAGAATAAAGGCGTGCGCCACCACTGCCCAGCGAGATGGGTGATTCTTGACTTCTGACTCAGACCTTCTCTGCCTACAGATCCAGAAGATCATTAAGGAGCCAGCCCCAGACAGTGGGCTACTGGGCCTTTTCCAAGGCCAGAACCCCCTCTTGCTGAACTCCAGACCCTGACTTGAGGGGGAAGCATCCTTTCCCCCATCTCTGAATCCCAGGAGACCACTCTGAGGCCTGCCCGGTCGGAGGGGGAGGGATGGCTATGCCTCCTGCTTGAACAACTGGACTTGGAAATGCAGATGAGACTTCTGAGTGTGGAAGGGGTGGGGGCTTGACTGAGGAGAGGTGGACGAGGGACTCAGCTCAGGTCCACCTCATGAGATGGAAAAATCAGAGAAAGGGCAAAGAAGCCTCACAGACTGGGACCCCAGACTCCGAATAAACGTGAATGCGACTGTGCACCAAACCATTATTGGGTTTGTGGGGCATCTCAGCGGCTCCTGGGGTGTGCAAGTGGGAGAAGAAAAATGAGGTGAAGTGAGGAGAAGGGCTAGCCGCTACTCCTGGCCAGTTTTGAGTCTGAGCCTGCCTTTCAACCATCCAGATATCTGGACCCTAGTCCCTGCAGCTCCTGTGGGAGGGAGGAACCCTTTGCCTCCCTTCTGGGCCTGAGAGCTGGAGGACTGGACAGCAACCCCACCCCCACCCCAGGCCATGTCCCGAACCTATGAATGTGTGTCTTGGACAAAGAGACGCACGGACCTACACACAGGAAGGCAGGACCTGCTGTGGTCAGGACAAGGACTGGGAGAGGGAAGCGAGAGCGAGGCATGATGGTGCAGGCCTACAAACCAAGCACTGCCTTAAAAAAATCTCGCTGGGCGGTGGTTGCTCATGCCTTTAATCCCAGCACTCGGGAGGCAGAGGCAGGAGGATCTCTGTGAGTTCGAGTCCAGCCTGGTCTACAGAGTGAGTTCCAGGACAGGCTCCAAACTTATACAGAGAAACCCTGTCTCAGAACCACCTCCCCGCCCCAAGATCCCCAAATAAAAACCAAGTCCAAATTCTCCCCAGCTCAGAGCCCCCAGTCACACTGGCCTGCCGTAGTCCCCAGAGTCCCACCTCAGTGGCTTTGCTGTTCCTGCTCCTGGATCCCGCGCCTTCCTACAACTTGCTTCCGCTCAGCTTCTGAGACCACACCCTGACCAGTCCGGAGCCAATCAGTCAGCTGCACATTTTATTTATATCCCAGCAGCCATTCTGATCAGAAGTTCGCATTTCATCTGGCTGTGGAAGCAATCATGTATTCTCATGTATTCTCTCTCACCCCCGCCCCCACATCCTGTTTGAGCGCTGCAGGGTGGGGCTGTTGTCCACCTTTGTTTACTGCAGGGTCATAACACCAAGAATTGGGGGACTATTGAGAGAGAGTGAGAGCAGACACCAGGGAGAGACGAGTGGGGGAGGGAAAGGAGAAAGGAAAATTCATAGGCAGGGAGTGGACAGAGGGGCCCTGGGCCTGGGAGCAGAGCTCCTGGTGGTACCCAGTGAGTGTCTGGGATTGGTTTGTTTTACAGGTTTGTGGGTTCTGGGCTGGAACCCCGGGCTGCGTGCACATCGGGCACACAGTCTACCAGCTGAGTTGTACATCTCAGGTCTGTCAAGAGGGGAGATTGGTTTGGGCCTGTGTCTCGAATAGGTTTCAAAGGGTCCCCCAGCCATCCAGAATTCCTCTAGGATCCCAGGCACAAGGTGCCTCCCAACTGTCCACCCAACCCCAGCCTAGAGCTGTAGGCTCCGGACTTCCCCCGTGGGCATTCTGGGGAGGGGGCAAAGGATTGGAGAACCTTGGAGCCTGCACTGGGGCTGGGTCTCTCTGGTTTCCTGGGCCTGGAGCACGAGAGATGAGTTCAGACGCCTCTTGGGGTGTCTGGCAGAAGGCTTCAGTAGCCACCAGGGGACATGCAGGAGTGAGCAGAATGTCATCAAAGAGGTCAAGGGTCGAGGTGTCCAGAGCAGCTAGACTTAGGCTGGGGCCGTCGTCATGGGGCTCTTCCACAGGGGCCTCAGCACAGGCCACCCCCAGGAAGGGGGATGGAGGCGGTGGAGGTGGTCTTCTGGGTGGTGGTCTCTGAGGAGGTGCTTTTTGAGACAGGATGGACAGGGCCAGGTGCTGGGTGGCCGCTTCAATCTTGGCAAACTGCCTGGGGTGGGTGGGGGAAAGGGGGAAAGGGAGGGAGACAGAGAGAGAGAGAGAGAGAGAGAGAGAGAGAGAGAGAGAGAGAGAGAGAGAATTTCAGCTTTGCCTGGAAAAGACCTCTCTTCTAGTTACCCCGGCTTTACCCAGAGATACTGTTCCTTCTTTTCACCCCCCCCCCCCATTCTTTTTCCTCCAGGCTCATTTCCTAGCCCCTGCCTTCGTTTTCTTGAGTCTGGCAAGTCAATATGTCTTCTCAGGAAGTTTTGATTGCTGTAGGATTGCTGACGGTGAAGATTTATTATCGCCCTATTCCAATATCTAAAAACGAACCATCTCGGGGGAAGAGCGTCTTTCCAATCAATTGCAAAGGGAGCCGTGGGCTGGCGCGCGCCACCGTGTGGAGTGCGTCCTACAGTGCGGCCCACTCCCTGTGTCTCCTGCCAGAAGCTAAGACACTGGTGTCTCCTGGCACTTCCAGCCCTCAGCATCACATGGGTGGCTTCATAAACAACTGGGGCGGAACTGTGCCCCCAAATTCTTTTATTTCTAAAAAATATTATGTAACTTAAAAAAAAAACCACCTATTTTGTGTCTGTGTTCCCTCCACCTCCTTCCTGCCCCTCTCTCCACACCACACACGAAGGCCAGAGGACTGCTTTATATGGATTTTGTTTTAAAAACGTCTTTAAATGTGTATGTATTTTTGGGAGTGTGCCTGGTTGCCTGTAGAGGCCAGAGGAGGGTTATAGGGGTGGCGAGCCACCTGGCATGTGCTGAGAGCTGCACCCAGCCCCTGGAAGAGCAGGAGGGTGTTTAACCAGAGCCATCTTTCCAACCCTTGGCTGCAAGTGTCTCCACGCTGAGTTGTCTAGCTGGCCTACGGTGGCTGATCTGTATATATGTGTATTCGGTGAGTGTCGGTCCAGACGGGAAAGCTAGAAACGGACCGTGAGAGGAGAAATGCGGCTCTAAGGAAGGACGCTGAGGAAGGTAACAGCTGAGATGCAGAAGGGGCAGGACGGTGGACGACTGTGGGTGGATGAGGCCAGCACAAACTGAGTGTGTGTGAAAATGCCACCGATGGGCTGGAGAGCCGGTTCAGGGGCTCACAGCGCAGGCTGCTCTGCTAGAGGACCTGGGTTCCATCCCCAGCACAACCATCACAGATGGGGCTGGAGAGCCGGCTCAGGGGCTCACAGCGCAGGCGCTCTGCTAGAGGACCTGGGTTCCATCCCCAGCACAGCTATTACATGGAGGTTCACAGGCATTGGTAACCCCAGTCCCAAGGGAGATGACGCCCTCTTTTGGCCTCTGAGGGCACTACATGGTGTGTGGTGCACAGACACAAGCAGCAAAATACATAAAAAAAAAATAAAGCTTTAAAACCCCACAAGGAAACCAGTCCCTTTGTATACTAATTTAATTTGTATACTATTTTTTGAAATTAAATTTTAAAAGAGAGGGAATAGCCACAGCTGTAATAAAGAGCACACACAAGACCGACGGATTCACACATTAGGGTGTTGCAGACTCAAGAGACAAGCCATTCCATGCTAGCTTAGTTGTGTTAATAACCATTCATAGCAGGTGCTGTGGCTCATGCCTGCAGTCCCAGCATGGGAAAAATGGAGGGAGAAGGTTCAAGCATCCAATGTCATCCTTGGTCACATATTGAATTTGGAGATAGCCTGGGCTATATGGGATCCCACGTCAACAAAGTAAGAATTCCAGAGACAGAAAAGAGAGGGAGGAAGGGAGGGAGGGATAAGGGAGGAAGGGAGGATATTAAATAATAATCCAAAATCAGATGGGCACGGTGCTACACATATGTAATCTCAATCTTCTGGGAGGCTAAAGCAGGAGAATTAGTGGGTGTTTGAGATCAATCTGGTTCACATAACAAATACCAGCACAAAGAAATACTCTATCTCAAAATAACAGCAACAACAACAGCACACACACACACACACACATGCACACACATGTTATCCGAGGATAATTCCTCCCTTAGGGTTGGGAATATAACTCAGTTGGAGTGCTTTCCTAGCGTGCACAAATCCCTGGGCACCGAATACACTGAGTGTGGTGGTGCACACCTGGTCAGTGGAGGCAGGAGGATCAGAAGCACACTCGTCAGTGAGTGCTAACTCACTACGAATTATTAGAGCACGTGGTACACATAAGTGTCATGTGCAGCTGTTAACACTACCATCATCTTCATTATAGCCACCATTATTATTGCCACCATAATCGTCATCATTGTCGCCATCATCTCCATCATACCTTCACCATCCTGATTATCATCATCACTGTCACTGTCATTACAACTGTCACCATCAGCACCATTGTTATCACCACCATCCATCATCACCTTCTTATCATCACCATCACCACCATCACCACCATCACCTTCAGCAACATCACCACCACCACCCTATCTTCAGCACCAGTGCATTTACCCTGGCTCTGCCTGCCGTTCAGAGCTGAGTATGCCCCCCCCACTTCTCCAAGTCTTTGTGCAAACCTGCTCCCTCAGCGAGTCTTCCCTGACCTCCTGCTTTAGAACAGCCACACTCCCTCCTAGCCCATTCCTCTTCCATAGCACTTGCCACCTTCTAATGCAGCCTAATTTTTAAAGTCCAGGTAAAAACTTAGGTAACATAAAATTCACTGTTTTGCTTGTTTTGAGACAGGGTCTGTGCGTAGCCCAGGCCGGACTTGAAATCCTTGTGTAGCAGAGAATGACCCTGAATTCCTGATTTTCTCTCATCATTGAACTGGTGTGGTGGTGTACGCAGTGACTCCAGAAGTTTGAAGCAGAAGGATCAGGATCAGGAGTTCAAGGTCATCCTTTGCTATATAATTGAGTTTGAGGCCAGCCCAGGACACACAAGACCTTTTGTCAAAAAAAAAGGGGGGGTCAGTTAATCCACGGGTGTTCAGGATATTCTGGTCGTCCTGCCTCCACCTCCTGGGTGCTGTGATCACAGGCTGCTGACCATGCTTGGTTTCACACTGTGGTGAGGACACAACCTGAGCTTCATTCATGCTAAGCAAGCACGGCACAAGGCTGGCAGGAAATAGCTTCAGCTTTGTATTATTGCACCGTGAAGTTTGATATTGGGATACGTCGTTAACAAATGCTCTTATGTGAAACATCGTTTCTACCCACACTTCTCGCTTTATGTTATTTTGCTAATTGACTTTTTATAGTTTTTATACTATGGAAAAGACACCATACAGAAAACAAATCTGAGTGGGTTTTTTTATTTGAGTACAAATAAAGCAGAAGAGACAATTTAAAACATCAACAATGAGTTTTGCCCAGGAACTTCTAAGGAACAAACATGTCCATAGTGACTCAAGAAAATGGGTTTGCAGGGTGTGGTGGCACACACATTTGCACTCACCTTTGATCCCAGTACTTGGGAGGCAGAGACAGGTGCATCTCTGGAGTTCAAGGCCATCCTGGTCTACAGAGTGAGCTCCAGTACAGTCAGAGCTACACAGAGACACCCTGTCTCAAAAAGGGGGTGGAGGGCTGGAAAGATGCCTCGGCAGTTAAGAGCACTGCCTGCTCTTCCAGAGGTCCTGAGTTCAATTTTAATCTACCACATGGTGACTCACAACCATCTGTAATGAGATCTGTTGCCCTCTTCTGGAATGCAGGAGTACATGTAGGCAGAACACTGTATACATAAATAAAATCTTTGAAAAAATGTTTAAAATGCTTGAAAAAGTGGTGGTCAGCTGTAGAGCATATTGAGTGTAGTTGCCTGTGGAGGCCAGAAGAGGGCTCCAGATCTCCAGTGTAGGTGATGGGAACTGACTGTGTGTGCCCCCCCTCAGCCTCTAAGCCCACTCTGTACCCCTTCAAGATTGACCTTTACACTACAGGAATGATAATAATAATAAACCCTTGTTTTTCTTTGCCAAAAATGTGTTAATCGTTATAGTTTCTATTTTGTTCTATTTTGAATAAAATGATGTGTTTTTACGCATACACAGCACACACCAAATTAAAAATAAATGTTAAAATACCATACATAACAATATTTCTCAACTTCCTAATGCTGTGACCCTTTAATATAGTTCCTCATGTTGTGGTGACCCCTAATCATGCATTTATTTTCGTTGCTTCTTCATAACTGTAATTTTGCTCTTGTTATGAATCATAATGTAAATATCTTATTTGTAGAGTCTGACCTCTGGACAGGTGACTACAGCAGATGAGGCAGAACCTCACAACCCAATTCGTTCTGCTTTTCAAAACTGGATGTTTGATGGACCTACTTGTAATGATTTAAAATACATAGTTCAAAACTGGAGTTCTTTTCCTATCAACCTAGTAATACACATACATACACACACACACACACACACTTTCCCATCAGCCCTCCATCCACACCTGCCTTTTTGACACAAGATCTCACTATGTAGTCCAGGATAGCCTTGAACTTCATGTATAGACCAGGCTGGCATGGAACTAGCAGCAATCCTCCTGCCTTGGCCTCTGGAATGTTAGTGTTGGGGTTATAGGCATGTGCCACCACATTAGACCAGTGTTCACGATCTTCTACAAGCAATGTCTCTAATTAGCTCCAGAACTTTCATCCCCTACAAAGGGGACCTCTTACCTGTAACCACTGCCTCCCTGCCGGTGTGTGCCTGGCAGCTTTGTGGGGTCTTCATGGCATCCGACTGGCCGGCTGAGGTGCATTCTCCTGAATCGCCTTTTCAAGGTACGTCCACACGGTGGCGCCATACCCTCTCATTTATTTACTTCACTTGTGAGGTAACCTAACCTGGCTGCAAACTCAGCCATCCTCCTGCCTCGGTCTCAGGAGGGTTAGGATTACAGTCGTGTGCTACAACTCATAGAAATCCTCCTGCTTCGGCCTCAGGAGTGTTAGGATTACAGTTGTGTGCCACAATGCTTGGCTCATATACTTATTTATTCAGGCCATTTCTTACCTTTTACCACCTCACAGGGACTCAGTGCAGGCTGGAGATTTCCTTGACCCTGCTCAGAGTGTTGATTGAAGCGCACAGAATAAGGTGCTTGGCAAACGCACGCTAAATGGTGCTAAATCCAGCCTAGGGGCCTCCCGGGGCCTACCCCGTGCCTCCCCTCCAGTGCCCTCCTCACCTGCAGATCTGGTTGTGTAGAAACCTCCGGTGGTTGGGCTTGCGCTTGGGGGGCCGGGTACGCCTGGGCTGCAGGGCTCGCAGGATGTGGGCTGAAGCCCCGCTCACAAAAGCGCACAACTCTCGGGGCCCTGGTTCAGAGAGCCCAGGGGCCGCAGGGAATCCAGGGTGCATGGCCGGTTGCTCTGCAGTCACAACGCAGATCAGAAATCAAACCCCCAAACCGGGACGCGACAGGAGGAGCATCCGGACTCAAGTCTGGTACTTTAGAATGAGAAGCTACCCTGGCAGATAGGGTGAGCCTCCCGCTCTGCCTGTCCCACCGCAGATGCTGGACTCCGATGTCTGCAGGTGAGGGGCTGTTATAGTAAGGCGGGGGCAGGGTGGAAAGGGCGCTACGCATCTCCTATGTGCCCAATTAACACATAGTTGGGCCTAGGATATAAAACAGGGGCGCGTGGGTGCGCAGGCAGAGAAAAGCTCTCGGAGGTAGCCAATTAAGGGGACAAAAGCCTCTTTAGCAAGGCCAAGGCAGGCGCAGAGTCAACCACAGCGATTAATGTCGAGGGCCTTTAGGAGATTTGGGGAGGGGTTTGCCGGTGGTTGGAAGAAGAGTCCAGTCTTTGAGAGGGGTGCTAGCACCTCTAGGCCCGAGTCAAGAACTCCACATCGGTCCACCACCCCAGGCTCACCCCATCCCGGGGTCTACTTCTTTGTCCTGAGGCCAGAATCATGAAGAAGAAATTGAGGCCTCTGGTCTCTGGGCTGCAGGAGGAACAGAGTTCCAGGACTATATAGGGAATCTCTCTCTCTCTCTCTCTCTCTCTCTCTCTCTCTCTCTCTCTCTCTCTCTC